GAAATGCACTTTAAAGACAAGAACAGCCATGCTTTATAAAAATGCCACTAAAATCAGATAATTCGTGCTCCATTATTGATTATGTTATAAAAGGAGTAAAAAAAGGCTATGCTGTTCTTTTTACAATTTCCAGCTCCCTCTAAAGAAGCATTTCATCAAATGTTAAAAAAAAACATCTGGTTCCCAAAATAGAAATGTTCAATTCAACACTTTTAGATTAGTTTTCATCACTCATTTATTGTCAGAAAGTGAAGTTCATTTGTTATAAACSATCATTTTTGTTCTACTTTTTCTTCAGCACTAAAACCATCCCGCCTGTGATAAGTGTTTGGTCTTTGAGATTGCCATTCAAGGCAATCAATCTTTGCCTGGCAACTGGAAGTGGCGGGAAAGTGGCGCATTGTGTTGCCGCACGCGCGCAGTACCTGAATGAACAAACATCTGCTTGTACGGTGTGCCAAGTAGCGAAAAAAAAATCAATTTTGTTCCCTGCCTAAGGCAAATGTCTTCTTGTATGTATATTCTTAAATAGTGTTGTAATCAAATAAAAAGTTTAAAAAGATTCATCAACAAGTAGAAATAGGAAAACTACTACAGTAAGCGAGTATATATTCGGCAAACTTCAATAAACATCATATGTTCACTGTTTTACTGTATTAATAAAAGCTCTTTTAAAATAAGGAAAAGAAATACAAATTCTGGTAAACATTTTGCTTACCAAGGTACTAAAGAGACAGAAAAGAACTCATTTTGTAGATTTGAAAAGAGGCACTCAATATCGACGAAGACCAGCCTTCATTTCGATCTTACTTTGATAAGATGTCAGAGAAAAAGCCGTACACTTTGTATTTTTTCTAGAATGAGATCTTGGAAACGCGTACAWAATGTAAGAATAATGGAATAATGTAAGAAAAAGAGCCGGGTGGTGAACCAAAGTCTATCAAAAATTGTACTGAAAGACAACAAGACTCAAGAGTCCATAAAATCGATAAAAGTCGTAACGACTCATAAATACGCACACATTTAAGAACTAGTAAATATAAATACCCTAACTAACTGCTCGAAACGGGCTTATAAATGWACTAAGACAGTCATCGATCAAAACACGCGCACAGAACAGGCAGCGCTAAAACGCATTGAGATTACGAGAGACGAAGAACAACTAAACAACGTAAAAAGTACATAAACTATTATCAAAAAGCAGATAGCTAAGCAATCATGGTAGCATGCAATCCATAATTCCGTAAACGTAGTTTACTAATCTGAATTTTCTTGATGTCGACTTTCTATAGTTACAGCTATGGGCGTTTGCTTTTGAACACATCATATTTAACTAAATTTTCTTGTAAATTTTAAGTTATGTAATGTTCATGTCACATTTTAAAAGTTTAGCATATCTTCATCTTTAAAAGTTACCTCTGTTCAAATACGATCTCTTCTGTGATAAAGTTGTCAACTCTTTGACTTCTAGCAAGGTATGAGCAACTTTTTACAATGGAGTGTACTTTTAGTGTTTTCTGCTACATTCTCTACTCTTTAAACTCGTTTCCGCCTATTAGACATGTGAGCCATCTGCTATACCTTATACACAAAGGTTTGAAAGGTCGTCAATATCTCATGAGGGAAGAGAGCCTTTCAATGACCTCAAAACACTTTAGCTACTCTTGTTTGAATAACTTTTTCTTCAAGGAGATCGATCAAAAGAACAATTCATGGATCCGTTTTCTGGAAGTATTGAAGTTAACGTTTATTTTGTGAATAGAAGGAATTGTTCTCGCGTTTCCACAATGCTAGTGTAAACACAAAAGACGAATATGAGGATCATCTCAAAGAGCCGATATTTGGGCTCAAACAAAATTGACTCTTACGATTAAAAATATCGATATAGGCAACGATGAATAGCAATTTGCATGTGATATTGCTTAAGTGTCTTTATTGCTTGTAGAATCTCGAAACTGTTGATCTACGGTTAGTTTAATTGTCATGGAAACCCMAAAAAACACTGTCACACCTTATTTTTTTTTACTACGACGAAGGATTAATGTCCGAAACGTCAGTAAGTTATTTCACATACTTTTTTTACGGTGTTAAATTYATCTTTTTACACAACTCTTTCTTTAGAAACACCGACGCAGCTCACACTAGTTTACCGCTAGTTCCCACCATCTTATTTTTTCAGTTTGAGAGCAACTAGTACAGCCGCTTGCTTGAAGAGTCAAAGAAGGTATCCCATTGCATTATAGAAAGTGCAATACATTTGTCTGGATTTTATCTTCTTGATAATGATTTTTCCGGTGTATGAGTTATTGAATAAGTCATGAGTTAATGACTCCGTGCAAGCTGTACGCAACAGTACTGCGTTAAACAATAAGTCCGGAATTAATAAAAAATCTAAAATATTTAACTGAGATAAACATTCTAAATTTAAAATACGAATACAGCTCATTTACAATTTCTTTTATGCGATAAGCACTGCCAGTGATAACCAATTGAATTTCTTTGCTTGATTAATCAGACAGACATGCGCAGTTTTAACTATAGATGATATCCATATTAGGACATAAGCCTGTACARCGATTGGCCCTAGAGACGACCTCCCCCCTGATATCAAATTTAACCGTGAGACTCGGCAAATGCAACAGACTTTGGATATTAATCTTTGAAGGCTAAAYTGACAAGTGCTTTTTTGATGCACTCAACTTATGTTGTTGCGTTTCTATGACGACCCAGTCAAAGAACTGTGATATCTTTATTGATATCTGAAGTGTATAATGTATTGTGTTTCTAAAGAGAGACTTATATAGCACGAACAAAGCCTTCGTCTGTTGATCTTTTCTGTATGGMTCGCCTCGTCCAGGTACTGATGAAAACTGAGCATATTCAGGCTCAGTGCAACTCGACTGCTCCTAAGTCCTCGTTCATGCTATCGAGTAAAGGTTGAAAGTACCATTTAAACGGCACTCGGCATGAATTGGCCATTTTTACGTTGCGCAGGGGACTGGGCACTAATCAAAGAAATATTGATCTATTCACGAAACAAACCCCACCAGTTGAAAGGACACCCAAAAATTAGTATATATACCAAGTTTCAAAACGTTTGGATAAAAACTAGCTGAACAGTATTTATTTCTAGTTTCATCAAATTAACAGAGAATGTATTGTTTTGGGGGACGCGGTCAAAATCGCCATACATTCTCTGTAAATTGCACGGCTTCTCATTAATTGAATATTTGTCCAAATGATCTGTAACTTGGAACCTACACTAAAGTCGATAAAGTCTTTTTAGCGATATGGTTAGTTTTTCGATTGGCTCAATATGACAGAAATTACAATTCATTTTATAACATAAAAATGGCTAATAGGCCGGTTTAGAGATTTATTTAAATTTTTCCTTGCTACTTGTCTGTAGATAACCAACCATATGTATCTAGAAATTAATCAAGATTCTACGAAGCTTTWCATACGATGCAATATTCTGCATATTCTGCATGGTGGAGGGGGAATGGGGAAATCCCGAATTAAAAGTACCGGGATGCTCGTCGGATCTCTTAGGGGTAAAAATTCGTGATTGTAAATCTTTTAGGGTGCCAATTTTGAGTTTCTAGAAATTTGCATTTTCTGCCGCTTAGATTTTCGCGAAAAGAAGACAAAGAGAGCATCGACATTGATTTCCTCTTGTTTTGTTTTGACATTAAATATTTTTGTTAAAATGTTAAATACAATAAATAAATATTTTATACATTATATCATTGGAACTGATGTAACAATATTTGTTGTGCAATTAGGGGTTAAAAATCAGTCAGGCAAGTCTTTTTTCAAGACTTCTAGGATCTTTTAGGGGTATTTTTGAAAATTTCCGACGAGCATTCCCGGTACTTTTGCCCCTTTTACTCTTTATTTAGCAATTTTTCTCATTTGTTTTTATTTGTTTTGTTTAGTTTGAGCATGAGTTAGTAGAGTCCCCTCTACTAACTATGGTTTGGGGGTTCATCCGTGTCACATTACCTCATGGATCGAACAATCTCTAATGTTATTTTCACATAGTTTCTTTCTTTTGAAATTGGAACTCTGAAACTCGTCTTTTTTCGTAAAATGCAGCAGTTCGTCAAAGCTGGTCCGTAGTGCTGCATGGCAAAATCAAAAATATCTTTTTCCAGAATAATAGTGTATGCCTTTCCGTGTCATCAGATCTTTTGTTCTGAAGATTTAGACTCTCTCTGGAGTTGACACATGAATCAACGCCTGGAGCCAAAGGTATAAAATTGACTGTTTGGCTCGACTCGATGGTAGCCGCGCATGACGTATGAACCGGGCTTTTTAGTGTACTGTACTACTTCTATTTCAGTACGAATCATGCGTAAAATGTGATTGTAGTGCATATGAGAAATTAGGAAGCAAATAAAATTTGATTATGTTAAAAAATGAAATGAAATGAAAATACGAGCCGCCCGTCCAACTATCCAGCGGCCATCACCCATAGTGCATTTCGAGCACATTTCATTTGTCATCGGTGTACGGTAAAATTCATGATATTTTCTCGAAAAAATTGCACAGGAATTGCTTTAGTTTGAAGGTAAGTCAAGGAAATAGCATGAATGTCTCATCTTTAAGGTATTTGTAAGGTTTGAGTTTGAATTTTCAAGTTTTTGATGTATTTTTTCGTGTTTGTGGAATGGAGTGTCGCCTTAGGAACGACAATAAACAACTCGTTTTCAAGATARATCTTTCMATTTCCCTCCTAAAAAATATCTGATTCATATTTTACCACGTCAATGTTATTTTGATAATTTTTTATAAGTTGTTATTTTACCTGTTGTGTCATTTGAAGTATTAAGCACTGTAAATTCACGAGCTGATACACATTTGTACCTTTGAAAAAAGTGTACAAGGTCTTGAGTCTGTTTACAAAATACACAACTTWATCTTTTGTATTTTATTTTTTTCTTCWTGTATTCTGGATTTATTTTCTGCTTTAATGTCTGACTAAATTATAAACTAAAGCATTTTTTGAAGCTTTCTGTTTAAATTAAATTTAATACAGAGAATGTTTCACTTGTGTCAAACACACAGTTAAGCTTATTTCAAGGAATTGAACATACGAAAACACACCATTTGAAACAATCAATTCACAGTGTTTCGATTGAATATACTACAATTTCCATAAATTGATGCACATGTATTGTAATACATAATATATTGTATGTGAATGTGCAAGACGTGTAGAAGATGACTGGACGGCTGTTTTAGATGGAGTATTATACATGTCAAACATAATGTATCATAATAATTTATTATTTATTATACATTATGATGTGTGCAATCTGATTGGCTGAGAAGTGTTTCTTTGTATTACTGATTATAAAATTTTTGATATATAACGCGTGCTCTGATTGGCTGACCACCGTGTTTATATCAGAGGACAGAGACACGGCTTTCCGGCAAAATTTTCTTTTCGCTCGAAAAATTTTAAGCTACGCCCGTGTTCCTAAGCTTGCTTCTCTCTTGTTTTTCGAACTCCCACCGTGTTTATATCAGAGGACAGAGACACGCGCACCGTTTTATATTTCTTAAATCAAGCACACTCACTCCAGCACAATTCAGCGATGTGTTCCGTGTTTCTCCCATCATTTCTTTGTGTTCTCATCTCTTTTCCAATGTTCACTGCTGCTGGGTTAAGAGCACAGGAAAGCCTCTTCTATTTCTAATAATATTCTATTACGATATTGTATTTGAGATTTTACAGAAATCAGAAAATATTTTAATACCTTTGATAAAAAAAGCACAATTCATGTAGAAATGCAGTTACTGGTAGTGTACTACAAAGGGAGGGTCTAGTACTATAATAGAGTCTTGTTTGAGTCTGTTGAGATATCTAGTTTCTATTTTTTTTGTCTACAGCAAAGGAGGGTAATCTTTCRTAATCATGCGACCAGGAACTGGGATGCGAGGGCGTGGAATGCCATCAAGTTGTATCCATCAWACTCACAAATGMTTATATTTAAGTAGCYGTCATTTATGCTCTATAATTAATTCATATTTTACCAWGGGTCAAGTTATTCAGAGCTTGAAWACTTTGTGTCTATTAGTTTAGGTTTTGGTAACCAAGTGGATGGTCTAGAGAAATCTAGACTGCAGTTATGGGTAATACAGACCAAGCAAAGTGAGGTCTGTGTGACTGATGAAGGTCTAGATTTTTCTATCTAAACCAAGCAAGCTAAGTTAATAAGACGTAAATGTAGACAATGGATATAAAGTGCTTTTTTTTATAAAAATATAAAGCTCTGAATTAATTTGATTTGAATTTGATATCAATTTTTACAACTCCTTGACATGTTTGCAATCAGCAATGGGAAGAGTACCGACAGGTTGGTTAAACTATTTCTATATTCTAGTCGTTATGATCACAATTACAGCTATGACACCTATCCTGCTTATGCTTTGTGTCCTTAGAGCCTTGTGTCATGATCAGTGAACATCATGATTCATGAATTATTTCCATTTATTTAATATATAATTTATATATAACTATTATAGAGTCCTGATAAAGTTGTCAAACAGYGATGACAATGTCGTGTAATATCATKATGATGAGTAACAAGTGCTGTAGTTCCATTCTACGGCATTATTATGAATTTTAGTTATATTCTGTATTACGATTATAATAATAACTCATTGAACACTCTCGACTGTTCATATGTTCAGGGACTGCCCGTCCGGGATCAAGAGGAGGAGAATCACTGGCAGGAGGTAAAGAATACTTTTCACAACACTGTCTATTCAGAATAATTGTAACTAGTAGATAATAAAAGATTTATGCTA